GCCGACCTTCGAATCTCTTCACTCAGATAATAATTAATATTATTATAGAATATTATATTATGATACTTTGTTAACAAGACTGACTAGAGAAATGCTAATTTGCTTTGTCTAGCCTAAAAACGTAAAGATTTGTTACAGGGAGGAGTCACGATGAAAAAAAAGTTTAAAAAATGATCACGAATATTATTGCAAAGGACACAGGACTTGGTAGGTTCAACAAGCTCTCTCTGACGCTTGGACCAAGTTTCAAAAACAAGGTCGAACCAACAACACAAGTCAAAAGGAGACTGCGAATAAGCAGAAGGCCACACCATCTTAGTCTTGATATCTACGATTAATAAAATGAAGTTCGTTCCGAATCGAGTGCAGATTCTTGCCACTACAATTGAGGCTCATCGTATTCACACTTCTAGTTATTTATCAGGAATAGGTAAATTTAACAGACCCCCGGTGGGTGGACCCAGTAAAAAGGGCGAATTTTTGCGATAGATGAGGGATGAAAAATATTCTGACTACTGATATGTGAAATAAGTAGAATACCATTGGGTCCTGATTCGTGTGGACGTTGCGCCGAAGGAGCTCCAAATTTTCGCGAGAAGTGTCTAATTGGTCAATTAGTTGCTTCAGGTGAAGAAAGGTTGCCTGCTCAATCGGATTACTGGTTTTGGGAGGACTCGTTACACTCGTTTTCTCGGCTGTTTTGCAGGGCGAGACGAACCACCGCGAACAAATGAGTGATTGGGACGTGCGTTGTGCAGCGTACAGTCGGTCCAGTCGTCGCTGAGTGGCCGCACCACCAGTGGGAGATAAAGGAGACGAGGAGCAAGAAGAGGGAGAAGAGGGAAGAGATGGCTCGGGCTCAGGTGAGAATAGAGCGGCGGTCTGGAGCCAAGCAGCCATTGCCTGTGCGATTGCGGCGTCCTGAGAATCGTGAGGAAAAGAGGCTCTCTGTAAACGGCTATCTTAAAATTCCGACTACTACTATTACTACTACTATTACTAAAATAATTCGTGTTTATTTTATACATCACATGCAATATAAAGAATTATTTGTGGATTGGCTATCATTTGAAAATGAAGCCCCTCGACAATAATCAGAGTTTCATGATAGCTGCGATTGCGAAAAAAAGATAACAAAAATAAAAACAATCACGATTATAATAATCCATATAATTATTATCACTATATTAATAATGATAATAATTATTGTTGCTGTTGTCTATCTTAAATTTTTTACCATTTGACTTTTTCCGAGCTACTATGAAAGTCCGATTATTTTTGAAGTGTTTCAATTCCTGCTTTATTTTGTACTTAGCTGATAGCCAATCCATCCATGAGTAATAATCGCGAAGGCATGATTTTACTTGAATTTAAAAAAAAGAGAGCAAGTTACCTGAGGATTGGACTGATTATGAGAAAAAATGGAGCTTCCAAATTTTTATGAAATATTCGTTCTTTGCACAAAATCAAGCCATCGTGATTATACTTCATGAGCGGATTGGTAATCAATCTAATACAAATTCCAGCCGAAAGTAAAACGTATCAAAAGTAATCACAGTTTCACGATAGCTAAGATTTCGATAAAAAGACTAATGATAAAATTAAAAGTAAAAGCAATAATGGTAATAATAATAATAATCATAATAATATTAATAATTTTAATCGAAGATATGAAGACCAAGATGGTGTGGCCTTTTGTGTGGTCGCAGTCTCATTTCGTTGTATAGAAGTTATTTGAACTTCTTTTCTCAAATTGGTCATATTGGTAGGAAGACTTAGAGGAACGCAGCGAGTCCTCGGTCCATTGTATGCATGATCATTTACAAAGTCTGACTGTGGACATGGTATATACCCAGACGTTTCCTCTCCATGACAGAAGGAGAGATACCACAACAGTTTAGCA